AAATAAAGCAAAGCCACTTCCTCGTCCGACATTAAACAGAGCCCAACAGAGGAGGGAGGGGCGGGGAGGCTCTTGCCGTGCAGCGCTTCAAGAGCTGACCTGCGTCTGACCTCAAAGTGCACAAGCTTCAAACTTCAGCGTTGGCTGCGATTTTGAAGCTGAAATCGCGTTCGGTGTGAACGCAGTATCAAACTGAGCTCGGGACAAAAAAAATAGTCCGTCAGCTCACAGCTCCTGGAGTGAAACTAACCGAACAAACCGCCTCTAAATCATCTGGTGAGTTAATTATCTGCTGTGCACAAAAATTGCTTGCTCTTTAGTAAATAAAGCAAAGCCATTTTATTTATTTTATCTTTATTTCATCTGCTGAAGACAGACTGGAAAAAACCAAGAGGCTCCTCCCCCTTCAGACGCGCCTCTAGTCTCTGTCCTGGTCTGAAAGTGACACTTACTCCTCTGGCTAATAAATCTGCCCTGTGCATTGTTTTTCATAAACACCATAGTGTGTCACAGTGTTGATATAACATGATGTCTTTGTTTTTTCTTCATCTTCCCTTGTGTGGTTTTTAGTTTTTCTGTTGTTAAAGGTAGCACAACTGTGTTTGCTGCATGACCGGTTTCACCTGTTCTCCCATGTTTGTCTTGAATGGGTGTGTCTTAACTGCCCCTCCCACATTCCCTGAATCTACAGCACCTTGTGAATTTATTTCTGTGAAAGGCGATATATAAATAAAACTTTACTTTATTTACTTTACTTACTTTACGTCCAACTTGAGGCATTGGGTGCATTTTTGCTGCTCAAAACGCGTTCAGTGTGAACGCAGCATTAGGAAGGAAGGAAGCAGCGTTGAAATGATCTAGATTCTGCGTTCAGCTTTCTAATATGCAGTAAATTGGGAAACAACAGTAGGGAACTTTAAACCAGTAGCCCTTCTGTACTGAGTAATTGGGATGAGTGGCAGTAGGTGTACAGATAACCTGCTGCCTCTGCGTAAAATTTTAAGTAGTTTCTAAAATTTCAACCTGGTTTAAAAAATGGCAGAAACCTCCAAACAAAATGTTGGTTCAAATGCTTCACAAGATTCCCACAAATCGTAAAGCAATAGATCTTTTCTGATGGGGTTCTGTGGAAAGGTTATGAACATTTAATGTCTTACTTAGTTGTAGATAAAACTATTTAATAAAAAGTATAGAGTTTAGTCATTAACAGACTGAAGCAAGCAGTTAGCAGGACTAAAACCAAAGTGAACTGGTGCCCATTAAGAACAAATTCACTGGTGACGAACACAAGGTTATAAACTTTCCATCAGTTCTGAATTACACAGTTTTTAACACAGAATTTGATGGTTATTTCCAAACACAAACACCAGCAAATATCAGCAGCTAGCTCGAACTCTCTGCACTGTAAAAAAAATAACTTGTAAGATTTACTTGAGAAAATCCTGTAAACGATTTGCACTGTTTGGTAAATAAATTTAATATTTACTCATCATTATCTAGTAAAAGTTATTAAGAATATAGTTAAATATTTGTGAATAAATCAGGTAAAT